AGAGGGAAAAAAGATGTAAAGAGAGATTAGAGAGAGGGAGAGGGAGAGGGGGTCCGGGTGGGGTGAGAGAGAGGGGAGCGATGCGGAAAGAGAAGAAAGAGGGGCAGAGAGAAATCGAATGACATATAGGGAGAGGGGTGATGTAGCAGAGTATATCCATGCTCTGAAGAAGTAAAAGGGGGACAAGAGTTCATTGTTATATATCCCTGTCATGTTTATGTTATGGTTTTCCCCATCTAGTGTCTTTTGATGTGATTCACTCATGAAACTAACCACTATGAAGAATAAATTACTCTCCATTGAGTTTCAGTCCGTCATTGCCAATCATTTATCACTCATTCCCACGAAAGCTGAAGAGATATGCACTTTCTAACTCTTAGATCATTGGCAAGGTAACAAAATAACTTCCTTCTTTGCGTCAAACATTCAACAACAAACAAGAAAATTGCAACGGCACTAATTTGTGAAGGCATCACATAACTTGATCAGAGCTAAAGGGGGAAAAAAAAAAATTGGCATGAACGTCTTCCAACATTTAGGAATATACCCAGAGTCAATTCTCTCTCTCTTCTATAGAAAGTCAATTATGGAATAGAATACCAATTGATATCAACTTAAAAAGGTTCAGTAGAAGTTTCATAGGAATTCACTTAAATATCATTCATCATGTTGGTGACTAAATGGTATATAATATTACCCCTGGTTATACCATATAACCCTGTGTGTTTTGTTTATCAAAATTTAAAATCTACATGTATTTTGTAAATTTTGTGGAGGGTTAGGCTCAACTAGTACATTTACTGTTTTCTGGTCTCATTTACTAGCCTTTATCATGCGTTTTGATTCTGTAGCATGTCTTTACAATTTGATTTTAAGGACAGAAGGAAGAAGGAGAAGGAAGATAACAGGATAGAGAGAGAGAGAGAGAGAGAGAGAAGAAATATCACTATCCCTCCATCCGTCCCATACCAAAAAACAAAAGTGGAATAAAGGTGGGAGAGCAGGTGAAAGAAGACAAAGGAAAGAGAAAGAGAAAGAGGTTATAGAAATAAGGAGATGGAAAGAGAGAATGGGGAAAAAGAGAAAGAAAGAATGGGGAAAAGAGGGAGAGGGAGAGAGAGAGAGAAAGGGGGGGGGGAAGAGACAGGGAAAGAGAGAAAGAGAAGGAGATTGTGTGAATGAAGAGGAGAAGACAGCTGAATAATGAGGAATAAAGGAAAACTTAACAGGAGAAATATATCACTGGTCACTGCCATATATAAATAACAAGTTAAAATATATGCTTACAAAATCAATGCAATAAAGACATATTGGAACACTTGTTAACTGCTCTGTACACAAAGTAATATTTTATTCATTTTTGGAAAATGATCATTTCCATTTGTACATAAACAGGTGAAGAGTACTCCACTTTATACCTTAAGGTCAGTTACGACCTTCTTACAGGCATGATCTTCAGTATTATACACAGTACTTTCTTAAAAATCACAATATATATATATATTCACTATCAGGGGAGATAGCATTAGTTTCAAAACCTTACATCAATGTTGGGAGGAAATTAATATGCTCTATCCAAGAGGAAAAGGTTAAAAGAGGATTGATATCAAGTTAGAAAATAGTAGGGAAAGAATACGCATTTTTATACATTGTATACTTTTGGTGGATTTCTGGTACAAAAGCTTCTTTTTTTATTCAATATGACAAGTGTATGCAGTTTGTTACTATTCGCCTCCATCTTGCACAAGTCATGCTTTACCCTGTTTGCATGTTACATAGCTTTACTACATAACGGTTGATCTTCAGAGAGTGTCTTCATTTATTAGGCATCCAATTTTTGAATTTCCTAAGAATAAAAATCTAAAATCAACCAATTTGACACGTTCTCTTTAAATTTGTGTTAAACAGGAGTTAACCGTTTGGAAATACTTGAATAAATCACCTTCAAGTACCCAAATTAACCCATTTCCAACTGGAACCCTGTGTTAAGCCTATGTGAATTAGATAATTCAGTGGTCTACGGGGTAAGAATTCATTCAATGTACTGTGCTGTGATAGATGTCAAGTTATAGAGGTAAAATGCTTTTGTTGAATTTTCAAACATAATCAGATAAGGACAAAAGTAATATGAGTAGGCATTTAAGTTTCACACATGTATGTATCACAAAAATAACACATCTGCTAAAATATGTATCAAAACAAACCATGTAAAACTCAGCAATTCACCTTGTGCTCAATGAGAAAATAAATATTGCTGACAAAGTAAAAAGACCTTGTTTAAATAAACACTAAAGTAATGAGGATAATACAAAAAAAAAACATAACTACAGCCTCACATTGCACTATGGGTATATCTAAAGCTAGCCAAATAATGCTCAACTCAAAAACAAAAATTGTGCTTATTTTTATCCTGGGGGGCATTTCACAAAACTTGTCATCAGTGACAAATGACAGTCTTTGTTATCAGCTAGTGAAATCCTTGCTTCTGATTGGTTATCAGCAGATTTGTCACTGATTTTTGTCATTTGTCATTGAAAAAAGGCTTTGAGAAACGGGTCCCTGGTGTACAGTCGACAAAAAACCATGACAGTGTAATAGATAAATAAGTTTGAAATATATATATATTTATATATTTATATATCTTTTGATGAAAAAATGCATAATCATAATACTGTACATGAGGAAAATCTGAGTTTTCACGCAAAATAATCACATATACAGCTACATGTATTGCAGGCACCTTATGATAAGAAACAAAGGACAAAATGATTGTAATTGATTCATTGTGCAAAAGACCATTGAAATATCTTGACTGAAATCATGAATTAATTTAAATGATTGTCTTAAAACACGAACTATCGTGGAGCAGTCTAATGGGCCAAATGTCTACATGATTTAACTGTAATACCATCTATGTTACAGAGCAAGAAGGACATTAACTGTGTTATTGATCAAGAGTTAACAGCCTTCTGGCTTCAAAAAACATATTTTAATGTTTGCAAAATGCAGAATGCCCTGATTGAAGAAGGTCTGTTGACTTAGAACTAACACAGAGAGAAAAGGGTCATACTTTTCTGAACAGTGAAAGCAAATAGTACATTAGAATCAACCTTCGGACAAACAAATAGAAGATTCCAAAATCAATTCTTGATAATATTCTTATGAACATGAGCACAGTCCATAAACCTGTACTTGTGATGTCTCTGGGCATAGTCAGTTAGTCTGCAGGCGCAGACTCTAATTGGACACTTCAACACAATTTCATTAAGTCTTGAGCAGAGCCTAACTCTGTCAATCCCTGGCTTTGTCAATGGTACCAAGATAGTAGAGGGTCTATGAGCAAGCTACATGTCTATGGAGTGCAGTGTTCTGTGAAGTCTTCATAGTCTTGCAGCTCTGACACTGCATTAGGCCCTTTGAGTGACAAGGGTCTGTGGTCTGCAGACTAACCTCCAGGCATATACATGTACACGTTTGCAAACAATATGATATCTTTCCAAAAGATTTACTCCACAATCAATGTGAAATCTTTCAACGTGGACAACATCCTGTAGTCCCTTCAGGAAGGAAATTGGGCATTATGTAGGCACATGAAACGAGAAAAAGATAGATGCCGAGTAAATCTTTTAAAAGTACCGGTAGACAAAAAAAAGGGAAGTCGAGATACACAAGATCTTTGGAAAATGGTAGTGGTATCGAAAGAACCAATAGTACATGGTCATATCATGAGATGTTTCATTTTCGTGTGAAACGAATGGCTATTAAAGTTATATGATGAATCGGCCACACTGCACAGAATTATCAGATTAACCCTCTGCTTTAGGAACCTGGTTGTCTCTGTATTATGTCTATGGGAATTAGAGACCTTAGTAGTCTATTGGTTATTCATTAACCCATTCAGTACGTGTATTTTTTTCTTCAAATACACAAACAGGTATCACAATGACCTGTATGTCATATAAAATTACCTAACGTTGACATTGTATTAAAGCCCATCTGTACTAGTTTACAGGAGGAATTAGACCACCCTGAAAGGTCACTGACAGGTGGTTATCTCATCAAATCAGCTCTCACTTAACATAGGAAAAAGAGGATCTTGGGGGACCAATGGTCACCGATTAGGTATGGTTTACTACATGTATATAGAGGGCGCAAGTAGCTATAAGTAGTGCAGTGGGGCTTTAAAGAGAAAGTTTGATGATAACAGCAACAATTCAATTCCATGGTCTTTTGCACAAATTGATACGTTTTCATATTTTTGCAATTGATAATTCATGTAGTAGAGGCACGTTTATTGAATCTACAATTATTTACAATTCTGAAAACCAAAAAAAAAAAAGTACAATCAAGCAAATAGCAAATTTCTGCTGTCTGAACCAACACATACATTGCTTTTCTTGAACAACTAGGATGAAAAAGATACTATGAATTCTATTCAGCTATCTATAAAATAATGCCTTGAACCATTCAGAAACTGATTAAACATCATTTTCTTCTTGTAGTCATTTCATGTAATTTTAAGCAATTTCTTTTCAACTCATGAACCAATTCAAAACATAAAACATGTCTTTCCTTAGTCTGTAGCTATGCACAAGTGCTGTGCTATTCAAACAAAAGAAAACTTGTGCAGTCTATCTTTTCAATATGACAATTTTAATAAATATCATAAGTTAAATCTTTCTTTGATATTTTTTCAATGAATGGAAGAAAACGAGCAATGAAAATAAAAGACAAAAAGAATACATTTCGTTTGTTGCCTTTCATTTTAATGATTCTCGTAATGCTTTGTTTTGGCAGAAAATTTTCAAAAATTGATACATTTCATCTAAATCTACCAAGTACTGATGAATTCTTAGTTGATACTGGACTCGATGCTAAAAATGTATCTTATCATGATGGTAATGACGGCTAGATGTAGGACCAACGTTTATCTTATAAGTGTTATGGATACAATATCAGGTCAATCTCTAACAAGGAGTATATTAAAGAGGAATCTTCCCCACATCTTGAGCAGAAACTGGACAGGGTAAGTAAGGTTACTCCAATTTTGGAGTTAATAGAATTTTAGTCTTTTTTGTTCAATGTTCAAATTGTGCCTTCTAAGGAGAATATCTGAATATCAAGCAGATTAAACATCGCAAGTAATATCGCCTGTTGAGAGCCAGAAGGGCAATAAATCCTTTACTTGAACAGACTTAACGTCTTTCTAACTTTTAACAGACCATAAGTGGATAATAATTCTACTTTGTGCAGCAAAAGGAAATATTCTACAAAAGAATGCATTGTGCAGCATATCACCTGAGCATCATGGCCCTGTTTCATAAAACTTGATATCAATAACAAGTTACAAGCTACTGTTATAAGCTACTGAAATCATGGCACGTGATTGGCTGAGAGCAAATTTATCATGGAAATTTAGCACTTGTTATAGATAAAAAGTTTTATGAAACGGGCCCCAGAAGCTACAGTTATCATTTTAATTGGACTATAGGGGGCGGGTAAGGCTTAGGAAGATTCTAGAACTACGATCTGTGAGGTCTAAACTCACCATCAGTCGCTACACTCCTTAATAGGGACAACGAAAAGAATAAATAAATTAAGTTTCTCAAACGGTCATCTAGTAATCTGTTTACCCAACGAAGCCTCATTAGCATCAATGCTGTTCTCCCTGAGGGCTCTGCAATTATCAATAGCCTAGCAATCGCTAGGTACCTATTTACACCTGGGTAAATTCATGGTAGACAAAGAGTCAGCCTTTTTTTTATAAGAGCCGTAGATATGAATGAAAACTAAAGCAAGCCAACCATGTTATACCGCCATAAGGACATGATTGTCTGCAGGAACAAGTTGGAGAAGCAGTCAGTACACAGTCATGGAGCCTCCAATGTTCTCCTGCACCTCAATAGGAAATAAATACATGTACATCACGCTACATCGTTTGTCTTGATAAACACCCTTGTGGTGTATCATGAAAATAAATAAGTCTCAGTCAATGCTGAAGGATAGGACATCTGGGGGGCGTTTCACAAAAATTGTCATCAGTGACAAATAACAGTTTGTGTTATAAGCTACTGAAATCCTTGCTTCTGATTGGTCATCAACAGATCGGTGACTGATTTTTGTCATTTGTCATTTGTCATTGAAAGAAGGCTTTGTGAAACAGGTCCCAGTTCTTGATGGGTGATGAGCAATGGACACCGTCCCCTCGGTGCATCACAGAAATAAATAACAGTTCAATGCAATTGTTCTTGACTGGAGAAACTCTAATGATGCATCACAGGGGTTGGGATATCTATAGCAGGGTCGAACAGCGCCCTCTAGCTCAGCTCCTCCTGTTGCCTGGTCCCACCCATAAAGATATCCTGGGCCTGTAGCCGCGCTGTATCGACCGCATCCAGGAGGTTCTTGGCGTCCACCGCCAGCACGTGACCGGCCTGGATCATGCCTCGTTTGTAGTCCTGGTCTAGCGTGGTGGTGGCGTATTTCTGGGCTAGCTTCATGGCGTTGATGAGTTCACCCATGTCTGAGCTGAGGACCTTGTGGGCCATCTGGATTCCTCGGTGGGTTTCTCCTGGGAGATCACTGTACAGGGTGTCAACACTGCCCAGTAAGCTCTTCAACGCCAGGCCTATGTCCTGTTAATGGAAAACAGATGAAAAGTACATTCATTAACATTTGTAAAAAGACATCAACAATATCAAGTCCCACTGCACTACTTGTAGCTACTTGCTCCGTCTATATAGAAAACAATGCCTAAGCAATGCACGCTGGTCCCCCATGATCCTCTTTTTCTTATGTTAAATGAGAGCTGATTTGATGAGATAACCACCTGTCAGTGACCATGCAGGGAGGTCTAATCCCTCCCGGCCAAACTAGTACAGACGGGCTTTAATATACGGTATCATTTATAATAATAATAATAATAGTTCGTTCTTTTATAGCGCATTTCAGGACCCTATCTCTCCTTAGCATTCTGAAGCATAAGGGGTGTCACACTATATTAACATACATGATTGTAAAACATTAGGTACTCTAAGAGTATAAACATATATGTACATATGTACATTTATATAATGTTAGTAATGTGTTCAATGCCATATCTATAAAAACGGCTCCCTTTGGGGCACAAATTCCTTTAATAATCTGTCCTTAGACCGATACTCATACCCATTCGTAATCCAATCTAAACGCTGATGACTTCATTGTTCTCACTGACCGAGTTTCTCTGGCCAATACCCTTTCAAAGGGATACTGACCAAGACAACATAATCGGCTAAACTTGCTTACCCTGACTAGGTTGACGTACTGGTCAGACTTGACCGCATGTACGAGGTTGACCATCTCCATCACTGCCCTCACAACCTGCGTTGTATTCTCAAACACGTAGTCGTCTGTACGATCCATGTCTAACGTTGGAGCAATCTGAAACGAGAGCAAATAAGGAAAATAGATTTCATCATTCTGAAAAATATTTAAATACTCTATAATATTTTGAAAATTAAATTTTAAAGGTGTACAACAATTCATTTACAACCCAATATTCTTTTCAATCCACTCAGGGTCTCTACTATTTTCCTTTTCACTTTAAGAATGGACCGGGCATTTGCTTTTTTTTAAACCCATGGTTTAAAATTAGCACAAATTAAGCGTACCTTGCCTTGCGTGTGTTTAACATTGGACCTCTGACTGTGTCACGCTTATTTTAAGAATAAATTACAAACATTTTTACATACATGTACATTACAACATAAATTGCATGAGGATCTTTACAAGTATTCTATTCAATATAAAGTCAAGGGTTAAAAACAGACGAAAACAGAGCAAAGGGAACATAGCAGTTCATAAAAGTTAGTTTTATATGACGTTGGTGAGTAGATTGAATAATCATCATTATTATCGTCGTCGTTGTCGTCGTCATCATCATCATCATCATCATCATCATCACCACCATCACCATCACCACCACCACCACCACCTCCAGTCAAAACTCTTCTATTTTAGGAGTATTTAGGGGGAAATGAATCCAAGCTGATCCAAGAGTTGTTGCTAACCTGTTCACCAATTGGCTGTGGCTGTGGTTGTTGTGGTTGTTGTTGACTGGCCGTTGTCTCTTGTTCTGAAGGCTCCGCTGGAAGCTCTCTTCTAACCTCGTCAGTGGTCTGGTAGTATTGGTCGGCAGCGGAGGTCGTCAGCGTGGACGGAGCGCTGGAGGGTTTCTGGTCGAAGGCTTCGTACAGGGGCTGGCCTCCATATGGCTGTAAGAAAACCAACAACAAAACGAGGTTAGAGATCAACTCTTCAGTGTAAGAAGTATAGTTAAAGCATATCTGCACTAGTTTGGCCAGGAGGGATTAGACCTTCCTGCATGGTTACTGGCAGTTAGTTATCTCATCAAATCAGCTCTCAATGAACATAAGAAAAAGGGGATCATGGAGGAACAACCGGTACCACTTAGGCATTGTTGGCTGTATAGAGGCGCAAGTAGCTATAAGTAGTGCAGTGGGGCTTTAACAAGAACACTTTTTAGATATTTGATCTCTAAGGTGGAGGTACATTTAGATGTATGAAATATTGTAAAAGATGCAGGTGTTGAATTCAGGTTGAGAGCTTCATACAGTGCTGGCTCGCTTGTACGCCATGCAGCTAAGAGGAAAACATATATTTAGGAATCGTATCTCAGTATGATTACATCTATACTGAGCATCATGCCTATAATTTCACATCCTAATCTCTAATAAATTTGATTGGGACCTGCAATACATGTATTTATGCACTTTAATTTTGTTGAAGAAATAGGAACTCTTAATATTTACCTCTCTGTTGCCATTCTGTCCTTCTTGCACTAACATGCGTCCTCCGGCTCTACGGACATCAGGTCTCTATAAACATGAAGAATTAAAGTCTTTAATATCCATATCAGAGGAAAAGTATGATTTCGGGTTCACATGTTCATGTAATTTAATGCTTATACATGATGATTACTACAATGTATCAGAGTCATTTTATGCATCATTATACTCTTTAGAATTACAAGCACCACTACCAGAACCATTATTGTCATCATCATCATCATTTTCATCACCATCAACATCATCATCATCATCGTCATCACCACCACCACCATCATCATCATCATCATCACCACCAGCATCATCATCATCATCACCACCACCATCACCATCATCATCATCATCATCACCATCACCATCATCATCATCACCACCACCACCACCACCATCACCATCATCACCATCACCATCATCATCATCATCATCATCATCATCATCATCATCATCACCATCATCACAATAACCACCACCATCATTATCATAAATCATCATCATCATCATCACCACCACCACCACCACCATCATCACTACCACCACCACCATCATCATCAGTGGTATCTGAACTTACCAGTGTTTGTGCACTTGTTGCTAGCCACTCTGAGTCAGCCTCTGATTCCAATCTCTGTCTCCGGAGTGCATCCCCTATCCTCTCAAGCTCATTCTGTTTCTCGGCTTCCGTTCTCTCCTAACAGAAGAAAGAAAAAAATGTAAACATGACTAATTGATTCATGTTCAAGTAAATGTACCAATCAATGTATTTAACTTCATTTCTGATTAGTATTCTGTAGATGTGCACAAAGTTCTGAGTATCATTTCTTACCTTAGTCTGTAAGACAACACATGCCCAATTATCTAAAAATGTGAAATTTGTATGCTGTAAAGCCCCCTTTGGACTTGATGTGGTAACCTAAATTACACAAAAACTGTCATTGGACCTTTTTTTTTTGTTTTTACTGTTGTGTTGAATGACAAGAGACAATGTGTGAATATGAAGTTCACCTGAGAATGCTACATTGTACATGAATACATACTACACATCAAGTCAATTTTGTTATTGTTTCTACAGTTTCTAATTTTGAATACACGATTATTGTCAGATAAATAGATTTTGGCAGGGTACAGCGCTCCAGCAAATGTAAATACCTGCTGTTTTCTTCAACTTCTAGTATACAATATATATATTTTATTTTAAAAAAACAATAAAAAATAAAATAAAATAAGGAAGGGGGACCTCTTACATGACAATAACAACAGATCAATATTCTTCACGCAAAAAGATCACTAGGTTCATGCATGCAAATTTACAGTTGTAAATGTAAATACAATCACAATAGCTAAGGTACTAAACATGAAAAAGACACAATGCTGGAAACTTCAAATCAGACACAAAGCACTCTTCAACAAGACTTTGAAATCAATCGGTCATTAGTACAAGAGAGAGAGAGAGAGAGAGAGAGAGATGCAAAATAGGTAGAGTTGACAACTAAATTATTCATACCCTTGTATTTGATGTGTTTCTTTTAGGTAACTCAAGAATAAAAGGTGGACAGGTTGAATTAGGGCCTTTGTTGATACTTTTAGATATAAGCTTTGATATGCCAGATTATCAAGGAACATAAATAGAAGCAAATCAATTTGTTTGCTTACTTTAAATAATTACAAAACTAGGTAAGGGTATGAATAATTTAGTTGTTAACATGTAAGAGTAGGTAGTAACGTTTTATATCATCTTTTGGAATAGAGAAAATGGGAGTGTAAAACAATGCAGTTACTCACCATGCTATTACATGAGAATGCTATATCAGTGTGGAACATAATATGTAATGCTCTCTCTCTCTCATACTTTCCTACTGCTTACCGTACATGTATATATCCAAATTAAATGAAATACACCGTTACGGTAGTAACAAGCTCACTTCACATTGAAGGTAATAAAGGTGTGCTATGGTCCAAATGTAAGACATTCTGTCCTAAGAAAGTGACCTTCGATATGACGCGTAAGTAATGAGGTACAATTGTTGGACTCTTGTGTCTGCCACAGCATACTGAGAGAGATAGTTGTGACATTACACACTCAAGGTTCAACTCAAGGAGCGCTGAAAGAGTTCTCTTCCAATAGAGATTGTATATGTGGGGGTGGGAGGGGGGAGGGGCTATTTGAAGCTTCATGCATTGAACCTTGAGTACATATATGTAAGTGTGGATGTGTCACAACTATCTCTATATGTACGCTATGGTTTCTGCCCCTACACCTAAAACATACAGGTATGTACATGTAAATAAAGTTCAAGATTGAAGTGGATGTGAGACATGTACTGTGCAAATTCTCTTGACCCTTCTCCCTGAATGCCGAAGGGTGGGTTTAATAAATTTAACACTAATTGATGTTAACAACTGATATTGTCTTGTCACGATTTCTAATACTTACCTTCCCTCTTTTTTTCATGATTAATCTTGTAAAAAATATCTTCTGGGATATATTAAACCACCTTTCGCAAGTATATTTGAATTGGTCTTTAATGAAGACTGAGCTGTTTTGAATCAGTTGCATACTGCATGGATTAACATTTTTATCAATGATTTGATATGATACTGGTCATCTATCAGAAAATAAGGGTAAAATAAGGGTAAAATAAGGATAAAAGAAGTAAATGCACCACATTAACAAGAACAAACAATACTTTTCACACCATTAGTTAACAAGACAGAGTTAGAGAGAGAAAAAAGGGGCGCAGACAAGACTGATACACAGAAAGGGTTTACGGGAAGCGAGTGCTTATTATTTAAAAGTCAACAGGAATCAGATCATCCAGTAGTCACAGGGTTAAGATAAAGAAAAAGAAGAGAGAGAGAGAGAGAGAAGAATAAAATGAAAGAAGAACAAACAAACAAACAAACAAGAACATCAAGAACATCAAAACATGCAACAAGAAAGATAGACAATAAGAGAGAAAAAAGGAAAAAACAAACAAACACAAGCACATGTCGAGAGCAGATAGAGGGTAGATACAAAGATCTGTGATGTTCATGTTCAAGGAACATGACTGTATGCACTTAAGAATAACCCAGGAAAAATGTGTGTTTAGTGTTTCAAGAAATAGCATACTGATTTTCTTTGTTTTTCGTAAACGAACCGTATCTTATAAGGAGTTTTTTAAACAAGTGAAATGCCTTTGAGGCAATACTGTGTAAGGAATTATCAAATGTTATTACCGTTAACATTAATGTACATTGGCATCAATAAACTTTCTCAACTTCCTCATGTGAAAGTATAGAAGAATGGGGAAATACAGAACTTAAAAAAACAGAGCAAATTCTTCATTTGTTATGGAACTGGGTATGTTATTCCTACGTTCATCTTTCTCTAATGTCATTGTCTATTTTAGGCCTTTGCTAGCTTGCCTGGCATGCTAAATGACGAACAAGGGACAATTTTGTCGAACCTACAGGCCTTTATACATTTGAGCGATGCCTTGATTTTTAATCCTACATCTTTCAGTCCAGTAACCCTGTTCCTACATTGCTAGGCTACTGCCACTTCCCATTTTTTCTCTATAATTATACAGCAAAATATTGTATTTTACAAAGGTATTTATCCTCTACTTGGAACCATAAAGTTATTCTATTTTTTGTTGCTGTTAAAGCATACACGTTTTTCCCTTGTGGCTCAAAGCATAAGTATTAAAGTAGCCTAAAGTGGGTGGATCTCTTCTTTTTATTGCATCTCCTTTTTCAATGAATATTGAAAGGGGAAGGGGGAGGGGCAAAATCTACAAGAGCATGCAACTAGCAAATGGCATAAACATCTCCACGAAATCCACAAGCAAAAACGCAACAAACATCTAAAATATATTGTACCACTCTGAGGGAAACAAACTATTCTAAATATCAAGCTGGTCTACTCAAGCATATGCACAAAATGGGGATCTGCAAACAATTTTTGTAAAGAGCAGGATTCTCAATAACAAAGGGATATGATAATCAGACAAAAGATTATGAAATAACTATTACAATGAATCACTCAGGGCTTGAAACTGACAAAGGTATGGCTTTCCATAGCTCCACAAATCTCAACTCATGACCCGAAGTTTGAAATTTAAACACGGGCCCAATCCAGGGCACACAGACCCTAAAATTGCGATCTGGATCCATGTGAAAAAAGATTCATTTTGGAGCCCTGTAATAGTAGAATTAAGATTTTACATATAAGGGGAAGCCTATCCATTCAAGCCATGCCTGTGCTACAAACATATATAGAGGGAGACAGAGGGGTTTTGAAGCCAGAGCCATAGATTGGGAGAGTTTGGCAAACCTGTTTCGAGTTGGGCACAATATGGCATATACTGCTTTGCTGCGCAAGGATGCATGCCACGTTGTGACCCAGCGAAACTAACTTGGCCAAACTCTCTGTATCTATAGACGGCTCTGGTAGAAGCAAGCAGACTATAACTTTGCTACCAAGGCCAATGTTGCATGCAACATTTCCTTACCTCGCTGCTCATAGGCCTGAGAAGGTCTGGCATGACGTTGGAGGACAGTGGGGTGGGGCTGTAATAGGGCCCCTTGAGGGTATTGGTGTTGGGCGTGGTCGTGGAGGGGGGCACCTTGGCCTGGGTACTCTGGTAATGGTTGGAGGGGAGGTGTCGGTCCCCAAGGATGTTGCTAGGGGTGGCGTAGGTGGGGAACCCTGGTCTTGAGGGCTGTTTGTATTTATTTATTTATATTAATTTAGAATGTTATATTTGTTTATTTCAATGTTGTTTATTTAGAGGATAAAATTCACAATGGTGGTGGTGGTAAATGAAGTATTGTTGATTGCAGTTGTACCAGTAATTTTGAGAAGTAGTGCAGTAGTTATCAATTTAAAGTGTTATAGAATATGGGATTATGGGAATATTGATGGACCCCCATACGAGATGGAGAAAGAGAGGAAGGGAGTGGGGGTGGGGAGGAGGGAATTTAACAAGGAAGAAACAAGTACAATACAAACTTGGTTAATTACCACATAAATTAACAAGAATTAAACAAGCCCGTGTTGAATAAGCTTACATTGTATATCAACTTGTGTCAAAGTAAAACTCACAACCCATGAAATTGATAACTCATCATCCATGAAATTGATAAATCATTTGATTAAAGTTCATGTCCATGATCTGAAAGATATACATGTACGTACAGAACAAGAATATCTACAAGATAAAAGTAGACCAGAGGTTACAGGAAGAGCATCCTAGCTGGGTTCCACAAAGCTCTATGATAACACATTTTGCAACAAATTTTCATTTCCCAAACTATTTTTAATCTTCATGCTAAACTTGCATTTATAAATATTATAACTGACTTCATTGTAGTTAACTTGCAATTTTAGTGAAAACAGCAATTACTGAGAATTAAGTATCACACTCTTCAGATATCAAATATGTGTTATACGTAAACCATTCCAATAGCAAAATTAGGAAAACTTCAAACCATCTTCCTTAAAGTTCAGTTCATTCACAATCACATTTGCATAAGAGTTTAAATCAAAATGAAGAAAAACTGCAGAAAAGCCACCTCAACATAAACACACAGTAAATAAAATCCTGTTTATATAAAAAATAAATACTTTCCAGTTTTTATCAAATTAATATCAACAGGTTTTTGTGATCTTGAGATGGTGGTATAACCAGCCATTGTTTTAATAGCAATTAATATTCATGACTTAACACACACAGCATGATAGTTCTTCCTCAAGATACAAAGTTTCCTTAAAATTGCAAGTTATTTTCACCAAATGACATTCTTCAATAGTTTGATATTTTCCTTATTTTATCAGTTTAAAGATGGCTGCAACCTATCAGTTGTTGCTTAGCATTCATAATGAATGAAAATAAACATGACATGATGTTTCTTCCTAAAGATATGTGATATCACGTTTCCTTACTATCATACATCATTATTTTCACCAAAATACAATCTTTTACAATACTTTCAGGATCTTGTTAGTTTCAAGTTTTTTAATGTAGGTCATTGTTTATAGTTTAGGATGACCTAATGGACATACGCTGCATGATATTTCCTCCTAAAGATACGTGACATCAAGTTTCCTAAACCACAAAGGTGAGATCATACCTGATTAATCACGGTTATTCTTCAGGTTAAGGCTAATTGTACTGACTGATTCAACATATCACGTCTTCCACTGACCATTCATGACCGTTGTGTTTCACACGAGGGCGAAGTTTAATATTTCAGTTTAATTTGATGTGATTTCGAAGTGGACTTTTGGGGTTAAACAGAGCATTCTTCAATCTTCAGGTTAAGGCTTGTACTGATTAAACAAAGCACGTCTTTAACTGACCGTTCATGACCGTTCTGTTTCACACAAGGCCAGAGTGTATATTTCAGTTAAAATTGAAGAGATTTACAAGTTTAAATTGGGATTTAACAGAGCAATATCAGATTTATGCTCTAAAATCCAAATGCATCATCTCAACAATTAAGTCTATTGCCAAATAAAATAATCAAGTTGCAGTTTTAGAAGACATCATTCACGAATACCTACAGAGCCACTGACTGTATAATATTGTATAAAATATATGTCATGCCTTTCTTTCCCCCAATTTTTCTTATGCTTGAATTCCACTCTCTCTCTCTCTCTCTCCCTCTGTTTTTCTTTGCCTCTCTCTCTATATTTCTCTGTCTCTGTCTCATTCTCTCTCTCTTCACTTTATCTCTTCACATTTTTTTCTTCTATCCTCTAGTCTAGTCTATTCTCTCCTCCTTCCTATTGTTTCTCTTAACCCATTGAAAACTGGAACTGGATGACTGTCGTATTTATAACGCCTATGGTAATTAAAGAATTAAGTATTCAGTCGATTAACTTGTTTCCATTACCCCATTCACAAGTAACGGTATATATTCTTGATACTGAATCCAAAAAATAAAATAAAATAATTATCCTTCTTCAAATGAACAAAATAACTATTTTCATTAAAGTGTTTCTAAAGTTCTCCTACAACAATTTGCATATATTATATACAAAGAAATACCATCATCAGCTCAGAGCAAGAAGGGCATTATCTCTGTATTAATACATACACCTGTATGAGTTTATCCTCTTTTGGCTCTAAGCCTCCAGGAAATGTCAAAGACCACACAACAAGTCCAAATACCGCCATTACAAATCATATTTGTACTCTTGGCTTGGGTCAGGAATCATGGATTATTCCCTCCCCATTGATTAAGCCAGAAACAAAACAACAATTCAAATCAAACCACAGGAAATGCAGCTCGTAATTCCACAAATACGATGTTAATGACCTGAAAGACAACTGGTGTCTGGTAATCAGGTGACTACTCAACAGGGTTGGAAACAAACAACCCCAGTTTGTAATGGTTATGATTTAAAACAATTACCGTAAGGGCTACGTTTCTTGGAAAATGTTGGATTGCAATTTCCTGCTTCTGAAAGTCAATGAATCCACTTTAATTTTGACATTTCAAGCAATTTATATGTGTGATACCTCTCCATAATATCAATACAATGTTTTTTGTGCGTACATTTAGGGGGTGGGCATAACATACTGACTGTGCGTGAGCTACATCTATATTCATATACTGGTAGTCCAATATAGAAATATACTGAATATACATGTGCTACGATGTGACAGTGATATTTAATACTCAGGCAATCACAATCTGTATGTTCATTCAAAAAGGGACTTAAAACATTTCTTTTTGTAATTCTCTAAGTTTTTATTTTCATTTTTTGTAGGATTCTTCTTGTTGTAAGCACTTTGGGCTGTTCTGGAAAAAGCGTAGTACCGGTACCGGTATATAAATAATAATAATAATATTTCTCACCTTGGGTGGAGGTTCTTCGGGGAATCCCCAAGTGGATAGTATCCTTCTCTTCTCTTGCTTCAAGACCGCATCCTCTTGCTCTTTCTCCTCTTCTAAGATCTCACTGGAAAGATACAAACATACAAAAGTGTTAAATACAGTCAAACCTGCTTAAGTGACCACCTGTCTACAAAGACCACATTTTTAATTTCCCTTCAAAATGGTTTCTCGTTGAAACAGGTACTAAAGGAAATTGTCTACATAGACCACCAAGCTGTCAAAGCAGAAATTAGGGATCCATTATGGCAATAATAAAGAATATAGTCCCTTTTTGTAAACTTTTTGCACCAAACTGACCAAAGTTTTGAGGAAAAGAGAGGAATTTATACCGGTAATTGAATCATTCCTCCAAAATAGGAATGTTTGGCAGCTACATGTGTGTTGTGAAGTGTCAAAGCATAAATTTACAAACAGAACAAACCATCAGCTTCAGCTCCATACTTTAAAGGCAGTAACACTACATGGATGATGTTACACATGAAGAGTCAGACTGGATCCTCTTTAGGTTCACAGTAAAAAGAAACAAGAATTAATTAAAATTATACATTGAAGAAAAAAATCATGCCTCGAACTGTAAGGTAAGGAGATGGAATGTGACAATTTTCAGGGGTGATAGTGAGCACTAAAAAATAATTTTAAAAAAATGTTTTTTTTTTTTTTTTTTTTTTTTTTTGGGGGGGGGGGGGGGGGAATGGCATCTAACTACATTCCCCCCCCCCTTTTGAGTTAGAAAATTGGGAAATAAAAGGAGAAAATCAGGAAAATAGGCGTAAAATCAAAATTATTTTTTTATTTTTTTTTAATCAGGAAGAAAAAAAGAAAAAATCAGGGGAACAAAATTAAAAATCAGGAAATCAATTTCAATCAGGTAATTATCAGGCCTGAATTTTACCAAAGAACATACCAGCTATCACATAGGCAAGGCAAAGATTGCCATCTATACCATTCCTCAAAGGGCAAGAAACTATCATCATCATCCTCCGTCTGCATCGATATGCAGTCAGGTAACCACCTCATCTTGGCCGAGAGGAACTCCTGGGTCTTTGACGTCGCTCTCAGTCCCAAATCAGATAGGAGGCTACGATTGAACAGGGTCATATTAAACCTGGTCTAAGTATGGCACAGGGTCCTTGAATACAGTATGACAGAGTGTATCGAGGATGTGTCCGTCTTTCAAGAAAGTTCTAGGTGTCCAAGACAGTCAGGAGTCTGCGGTTGAACAGGGTCATAACCCAGTCTAAGTATGGCACAGGGTCCTTGAATACAGTACAGTACAACAAAGTGTATCAAGGATGAGTCCTTCTGTCAACAAAGTTCTAGGTGTCCAAAATAGTCAAGGAGGCGTCCTAAGGAATCCTATGTGTATTAAAACAGAGTTGTGGTCCCTCAAAAGTCAGTGCTGCTACCTCTTTGTCCAGTCAACTGAGGATGTCTCTTGAAATAACCACAGGTAGATCTCCAAAATGTTCTATTCCAACCAAGAAAATCAAGTGGACACCAAATGGACAAATCCCTATAAAAACAACTTCAACAGAAGCTTTGCATTTGTTTGATGAATTACAGCCACTTTGTCCAGTAATGTAAAGTTTCCCAGTATAAAAAAAATCTTTTCAAGCCAAGAAAATCGAGTGGACACCAAATGGACAAATTCAACAGAAGCTTGGCATTTGTTTGATTAAAAGCCACTTTGTCCAGAATTAAATATAAAGTTTCCAAGTACATGCACAGCTTCTTCTACTTCTACTTCTATGCTAGTACTCGTCGGAAGCATGTAAGAGCTCCTGAACATCACCTCCTCCCAATCAGAAATGGCCAGCTCATAAAAGAGCTCCAGCGTCCAGCCAAGAGCACTTCAGCAATGAGTTCACAGTAGTGTCGTCATGCCTTTAAATAACTTCTACTCAAAGTCTGGCACACGTGTAGAGCAAGTAGTTGTAGTTGCTATGGGCTCTGTCATCACCTCGTGACTGTGCTGAGACAAACAACAACCGTGGGAAGAAGGGAAAGTCTTTCCTCCCCAAGAAATGCCCACGTTCACTTGTAAGCAACAAAGAAATCTTCCACTTGACAGGAAAAAAACATCCCGCAGGCATTCAAATATCAAATTATGGAGTTCCAGGAAAAGTTGTCCACTGACATTTTCAATTCAAAATCAGGAAATTCCCTCCTGTTTCAACAAGGAATACAGGTATGAAAGTCTATGCCGGTGCAAAAGGATTATCCTCTCTTCCACAGACGAGAGTCAAATAGGAACTGACGGAGTAATCGATATCTCCAGGCATTTTATATCCTTCCCAAACCTTTCACGTTGCGAAGGAAATTGCGAGTGTCAGTCCCGTAATCAGGGGAGGAAGTGTTGCGTAAAGTTTCTGCGTAACAGACTAGTAGCAGCTAGGGGTAGGGCACAACACCATTGCAAGCGATTTGATGAATGAATAAATGAATGAATGAGTCAGATTAAGGGAAGACCTACTGTACATGGCCCATTGTATAGGGTGTCAAAAAAAAAATAAATATTAGTTTAGTGAGTGAATGCAATGCCTTGATAGGAATGACCAAATGTACAGAGTGTCAGTGTCTAAATGAAGGGAGTTCAGTGAATGGATGTAGAAATCTGAGGGGAAAGACCTGCATGGAGTGCATGGCCGGTGGTATAGGGTGCCTCAGTAAAAATGCAGAACCGAGAATGAATGAAATAGTTTGAAGGGAATGATTTATGATCAATAGTACAGTTCGATGAATGAATTAACTTTTCTTTTTCCTCTTATTCATTTTCTAAAACATGTTATTTAAAGAAAAAAAGACCTATGATAAATGGTTCAGGGTATTATCGATAAACAGCAGTCAAACTAAGTGCAAAATAATCACAATTCCTTGAAAGAATGTAGAGCTATGCAATTCTTAATGTATTTTTTTTTAATCTGCAATTATTCATCATCATTAAAACAGCTGTCGAACATATAATGTCTGTCTGATATAAAAGGAGCCATGTTTACAACAGCTGGCAAAGTACTGACTTAAGACGCCACGCGGTGAGATTCTGACCCCCAAAATAACATGTCACATTGTGAGCATGAATGTGACTAAAGACATCACATGAGTGAAATGATCCTGGAAGTGGATGGTCGAAAATAGAAATGGTCCATCTATCCTCAATACTGGTACACATGCTTTAAAAAAAAGGTTTCCCAAGAATATGGGCGGGGGTGGAAGTATGATAAATTAGTATTAACAAAGACCCCCTGCCTTAGAAATACATAAGATGCAGAGCTGCCAACCTTGAGCGACCAAAAAAAGGAATCATGATGGCAAAAAAAAAGGAATTTCGAGCCAAAAAAAGGAATTCATGAAAACGAAACTTACAACCACGCGCGACACACTTCCAATGCAGAAATGTTCATTCATCATGCTGTTTTTTTCATACAAGCAGGTAATTTTTTTGGTGGTTATTTTTGGTATTATCGGCATTTCATTTTTTTTTAGAATACTTTTCTCTTCAAGTATGTTTTAAAATTAGTTTTCTATTGAATTTGTGATCAAATCACCATTTGAGGGCAGTTGTTTGACGTGCGGTATGTAAAAAAAAAAAAAAAAAAAAATTATCAAAAAACATATTTTATGAGGAAAAAACGTAATACCGTAATTTGGAGGGAAAAAGGGAGTAATTCCGGCAAAAACGGAATGGTTGGCAGCTCTGAAGATGGTTATGTGAAATACATGGATGTAAATAAATACAAAAGAAAGATGAAATTGAAAAAACAAAAGTTCCTCTACAATATAAAAAAATATGATAAGTTAATAATTACAAGGCCTCCCTCCCTTAGAAATAGAAAAGATGGTTTACAGATAATAGGTAAAGGAAAGGCACAATAGAAAGGCATTGAACACAAGTGGAAAATGACATTTTTTACCAACAGAGATTTCCAGTAAATTTATCATATCTTTCTATCGACATTCTGTGCATGTAACTGTAAGTCAATTTCATGGAGCATTTGAACTTTGTGAAGAACCATTCGAAAGAAAAGAAAAGGTGAAGTGAAACTTATGTGACAATCGGAACAATTCATGTTCCAATTTCTAGACGCTTCCCTCATGCAAATGTGAACTTAAGATTTATCATGACCTGGTCCCCGTTTCACAAAACTTGTCATCAGTGACAAATGACAGTTAGCTACTAAAATCCTTGCTTCTGATTGGTTATCAGCAGATTTGTCACCGATTTTTGTCATTTGTCATTGAAAAAAAGGCTTTGTGAAACGGGCCCCTGAACATATCTTGATGGAGTTGTCTGTGCATCAATATGTGGAAACATGAGCATGCATTAATACCGAATTCCCTTTTTGTATCACACTTACCAAAAAAGCCATCTGAATAACATAATCAAAGGAACAAGTTGCAAAAGGAAAGAAAAATAAGCGATACATTGAGAAAAGGAAAATCTACAGTACAGTCAACAGCAGCAGATTAACATCAACATATAATATTCTTGATTATTTTGTATTAAAATCATGGCATGACAAACTTTCATCCTTCATTACAACATGCACATAATCAAAATATGATAAAGAGCAGCTGAAATGAATGAAATGTTTGCTTTTATGTCTTTACAACTGCATTACATTTTCATGAGACACTGTGTAGCTGTATACATTTACACATACATTGCCTTCAAGTAATGGCACAATGCAAATCCATGTATCCTTTACAATGTTCTTTTAGAGAATTTCCTAGTATACTTCCTAGAGAAAGATAGTATTTTGATAATTGTTTAACAGAGTGCAAACAAACAGAAGCACTGTTGAAAGAGTACTGTAAATTAATTCATTAAAAACTTGGCACATTGTTTTACTAGTTTTCCTATAGGATTCTGTATCTTAGGCACACTTGCCAAAATCTTATCCGAATTCATTAATGCCAACTCTGCACCAAATTACCAAAAACAATTTAAAAAACAAAGATTTCAGCTTAAGAACTAGGCAAGGAAATTTGATGTACTTTAGAAGGTCATTACGAGTATGAGAAAGAGAAACATCAAATCTAGTAAAACACTAACAAAGAAAATAAAGTCTAGGAGTATAAGAATAAGGAAGATAGAGAAAAAGAAACCAAAATCACGGGAGGAGTAATGGAAGGAACATACAAGGTATGTGCAAATTTCATATTTCTGATTCATTCAACAACAGAGGGAAGACCTCGTTTTGGTTCTAGCTGCTCTGATTTTTAGTCATGATCTAATAAAAAGTTTGTGCTCATCCAGGCTCATCAGTTCATAACATAGGCATTGAGGTGAAACGGAGGACAAGTAGGTGAGAGAACGGGCATTTTATACAAAATAGTACGACAGTCAGAGAGATGCCTGCAGCAAAGAGTAGGCGAAAGTCTCGCAGGTAAAACAACCTTTTTGATTGTGATACAATGAAATTCAATTTATACCCTCAAAGTGATTTATCATAATTGTTGCATACTTTCTGTTGAAAGCCAAAAGGGCAATAACCCATGGACTACTTCCTCTAAAAAAAGATGATATTGAGGGTTCAGTGACACAAAGACGTAACTCCACATTTTGCCAAAATGAGTATTTGATATCAAAATGTTCAGAAAAATGTTGGCTTTCGAGGAAACACAAAGACTTAACTCCACCCAACACCCCATTGAAGTCAATGGCTAGTGAAACATAGACTTAACTCCTAAAGACTCAAGTGCTCAGTGACACATAAACCACTTTTTCTCAAAATGGCCAAAATGGAGTTACGTCTTTATGTCACTGACCCCTCTATATATCCTGGTTACGCTCTTAGTAATTAACCACGAAATATAAAATCATATATGTACATCTGAAAAACTAATGATGACATTTATAACCCAATGTGCAGGTGAGATAATGATGATGAAAAATCCTATATTTAGCAAAGAATCCCATTCTCACATAAACATATATATCCTGGTTATGATTTCAGTAATTTCCAAAGAAATATGTAACCATATTTCTGAGTCAGACGTATGGTTATAATATCAGAAGTTCTGAGATATTAATCATATTGTTGCTATGATTTATGTTTTAATGATGAAATCTCCTGAAATACTCTAAAAGCAAAAACTCCCTTTCTCATAAAAACACATTATCCTAGTTATGTTTTCAGTAACACCAAAACGAAAACAAACATAACTATTTATTACAAAAGCACTCTTTTGAGAATATTTCCCTCAGTTATGCGAACTCATGAATTACATGTATGCATCATCAGCTCACGTGATATACCCTTTTATCCAAATCAAGGCCATTCAACATTAAATAACGAAATGGACACCTGCTCAACAAAGGACTGAACAAACATTCAAACTATCCTAAATGGCAAAGAATTGGTTGGTTTGGCAATGTCACTGAGGTATAATGTCTTTCTATTGATACATCTGTTGCAAATAGAACAGATTCTCTCCTTTCTTTGTATTATACAATTTTATTTCATGACAAACTATCTTCTCCATCAACAATATTTCTACACATCAGGGGAAAAAAAATTTGGTTCTACTTTTAAGCTTGCTTGCTTGCATGTAAATAACACTTTAATTTGTTTTGCATTGAACTCTATGCAAATATAAGGGGCTCTTATATGACTTTCGGGGGCTCTTTTGGGCATGTCGGGGGCTAATTCGCCCCGAGCCCCTGGGTATTTTTTTCACTGCTACACATACACATACCACCTCTTTTCACATCTTGGTCAACAGTGACCTACCACAAAATGAGTTCTGATCCCCTAATACCTTGTTTGCTGTATCAGGATTAAAAAGTTCTCTGAAACAGGCCGCCCTTTTTTCTCAATAAACCACAAAAACTCCACCCTCTTTAAGCCCAGAGAATAATGAATTTGACCTTCAGAGAAACTGGAGCAGAGAAGAGTTCATCTAAAAGTTACCTGGCTGTCTTCAGAGTGATTTGACATATGCTCCAGGACCCTGTTTCATGAAACTTGTTATCAATAACAACTGCCACAGATCTATGACATATCTTCTCACAGCCAATCAAATGCCAGGGTTTCAGTAGCTTTTAACAATTATCGTAACTTGTTGTTATGACATGTTTTATGAAACAGGGCCCTAAAGCATGCTCAAGGATTTGATCTGTCACAGGTAGGGTTGCAATTAGGTTTTAGGTTGGGTTTGGGGTTAGGCTTAGGTAAATAGTGTAGTTTTTAGTACAGGGTTGACGTTAGGAATGTATTAATTGCGCCCATGTCTGTTGTGCAATGACGCTCCTGGCGCTCCCACAATATTAACCTGGTATGAGTCGCTTGGCAAAATCTGTAGCGCTCTTGCATCTTGGGTAGCCATTTAACACCTGGGTGGAGAGTGGCAAATGTGGATCAATGTCTTGCCACAGGATGACAGTGCTGGGTTGGGAGTTGAACCCTCAATCCTTGGATGGAGTGTCAAGTGAATAATAATAATACTAATAGCCAAATAGTCCACTCCAAATTTTTATTAAACCGAAACAGAAATTCTTTTTGCCCAATTGATCGTGAGCCCGGCAGCCACTGAGCAGCGCCAGATAGACGTTGCTCTATCCCCTATTGAACCACTATACATGTACATGTACCACAATACTCCAACTAAAGTAATCTGAAACTGAAATTGCCAATGGAGCCAATGTCGCCAGGGCACGTGCCAAAGAATCGTCTTCAGTTAACAAGGTGGGAAGTATCACAAACACACAGGAGCCATGTATCAGTTCACAGGAACAGACATGTAGACCGCATTGAATCTATTCATTATCATGCACTATGTGATGAGTCACATACTGTTATCCCCTAAGTATGTGTTTGATTGATTACAGGTCTTGCCCTTATCCACTCTCCCTTCCCCTGACTGAATATAATGAGATAACACAAATGTATGGTTGTCTGGACAAACTCTTATCAATGAATAATGAGTCACACCAAGCTATCTTCTTGTTAATAATAATAATAATGATTGAAATAATAATAATAATAATAATAATAATAATAATGGTGGAGTCTTGTATAGCGCAGATGTATGGCACATTACCACTCCTGGCGCTCCATTATTATTACCCTGGCTTTAGCACGGCTGCCATTACAGCGCTCAAGCATTTCAAGGAATTTATTCCTGCCAGTTAATACCCATTTACCTCACCTGGGTGGAGTGTGGCAAATGTAGATTAATGTTTTGCCAAAGGACATGAGTGTTGTGACAGGAATTGGAACACCATACCTTAAGGTTCGCAGTACGGTGACTTATCCACTGAACCACAATACCACTGCAGTTGTACGAAGGCAGGTATTGCCTACGCCATTCTCCCCTTCCCTCTTCCTTTCCCTTCTCTCCCCCTTCCCCAACCACTGTCCCCTCTTCCTTCCATCCTAAATATCATGATGTATTGCAGCCGGTTATGGTTGTCTGTAACGCCGGATAATTCTTTGTATGAGATGAGTCACACCCTTCTCTCTCTCTCTCTGTGACTGTCTCTCTCTCTCTCTCTCTCTCTCTCTGTCTCTCTCTCTCTCTCTCTGTCTGTGTCTCTCTTTAACTCTCTCTGTCTCTCTCTCTCTCTCTGTCTTTCTCTCTGTCTCTCTCTCTCTCTCTGTCTCTCTCTGTCTCTGTCCCTCTCTGTCTCTCTCTCTCTCTCGCTCTTGTTCTCTGTTTGTTTCAAGGCCAGCATTGCCTCCCCTGACCGCCACTAACCAATCCGTCTGCTTGGAGCCAGAAGGGTATTGACTCACATTTTAACACAGAGTTAATGTCTATCTAGCGCTCTGAACAGAAGATCTCCTTCCCTTCACTCTCCCTGAATCACATGAGGAATATATGCAGATACTTCAGTGATAATTTCTTATTTTCTTACATTATTCAAATTCCTTTCTTTAACTACAGACCTAACCCTGTACCTAATTCCTTAATCCAGAACCTAACACCAAATTACAACCCTTACCCTAACCCTAAAATTTATCTTATGAAAATGAAGACTGAAGCAAATGTGTCCCGGACCCTGTTGCACAAAACTTACCATTGATGGTAACTTTGCCATCAATGGCAACTACCATGGTAACAGGGCTCGACAGCCAATTAAAATCAATGTTTCCATGGTAGTTACATCAAAGTTACCATCAATTGTAAGTTTTGTGCAACGGGGTCCTGAGCAGATATCTGTGACATTGAGGATACTTCCTATAATTGCACAACAAATTAAATCCCTCTGTGATTTCTCATTATCACATGTATATGCCTGTTGAATGCAAGTATTGCCCTCTTAATTCCCCTCCTGTTTCCCATTTCTGTCCCACATCCACACAAACACCCCACACACACACACTCACACAAACACAGACAAGCGCACAGCCACAAACACCTGTTGTTAGCCTGAACCAAACAAATGACCTTAGGAACGGCAAGGTGACAACACTCAATTAGTAGGGTTACGATTTCCGGAGTTCCGCTTCCCCCAACAGCTCGGGGAGATCCTACGTCAGACGCGTCACAAGAAACGGGAAAAACAATGAATATCCTTAATAAGGGTGGCAAGGCCCAGGCATTCCTTCTATGCTTTGCCTGCTGATTGCCGTCGCCCCTTTCAAAATGACGTCTGTGAGATAATTAACTTCTTACGTCATCAACAGCAACTGGCTACTATGATTAAACAAGGGAAACGCTCTCGGCGGTCTCGCCTGCATAACGCAATTCAATATGATAAACCAGAATGTCAATGTGGAAGGGACATAATTTCATTTCATTTGCATAAAGTACCATAAATAATCAATGGAGCAAAATCTCACAATTCTGTGTAGAAGTTTATTGTTCCAAATTTAGCTCTACCAGATAAGGCAAAATCAGTCAAGAAATGAGGGAAAAGAAGCAATTTTTGTTATTTTTGGAATAAATTTGCATAAATTACCATAATTAATTAATGGAGAACAATTTCAAAATTCTGTGTAGAAGTTTAGTGTACCAAAGTTAGCTCTACGATATAAAGCAAACCAAATCAAAATCGGTCGAGAAATGAAGGAGAAGAAGCCTTTTTTGTGATTTCGAATAAATTTGCATAAATTAGCATAGATAATGAATTTCACGATTCTGTGTAGAAATTTTAAATCCCCTCCTAGCCCTATCATATGAAACAATCAGAATCAAAATCGGTTGAAAAATAACGAAGAAGAAGCATTTTGAAAATCTTAATGTTGATGCCACAACAAAGTCTAAATTTGTTGACCTTAAATGGCCTTTGACCTTAACTTAGTGACCTGAAATTCTACTCACATGATTGGGGAGACTTGATAACCCTATAGTCCAAATTTCATTGACTAAGAACATATACTTTCAAAATTATATCAAAAATTCAAAAACTTAACCTTAGGTTAAGTTTTCGATGATGATGCTACAACATAGTCCAAGTCTGCTGACCTGAAATGACCTTTGACCTTGACTTTGTGATCTGAAATTCTACTCACATGATTGGGGATACTTGATTACCCTATAGTCAAAGTTTCATTGACTAAGAAATTATACTTTAAAAATTATACCAAAAATTCAAAAACTTAACCTTAGGTTAAGTTTTTGATGTTGACGCCGTCGCCGTCGCCGTCGCCGCCGCCGTCACCGGAAAAGCGGCGCCTATGTCTCGCTTTTTGCTACGCAGGCGAGACAAAAACTATCCACTCTCCTGTTACTGTGTATTGTTGATATGTTAACAACCCTTATGACTCATAAATGAATAGGTGTGTAAAATGCCAAATGATGCATACGTGGAATCCATTTGGTCTATATCTTACATAGCGAAGAGGGTGATATCATCAACCTGTATTCCATCAACAATGAAACTAAATTCATTAGCTCTTCTAATAGAAGGTACAAAAAAAAAAGCAAAAGGATTGCATGTAGTTGAAGAAACATGCAAGAAACAATGATAGCAAACAAACGAGAAAGATATCTGACATATATCATGAAGGCAATCAACCACACTAACGTCATTATCTCCAAAAATTTAAACCCGACGCTAGGCTTAAGATTTTTTTCAATTCGGAAAGGAAGTCTAAATTTTCTTTTGTTAAACCTGATTCTAGACCCCGGGTCGAGTTTAATTGAATTAGTGAATATGGATCCAAAAGTTGCAGCAAATTCTTTCTTAGATAATCTCTCCCATGAAACTCCAAATTATTTACAACATACAAATGACTTATACACACAAACACAAAACAGTACAGTTGTTGTCTAACACATAAACAATTTTACTTACATGGTAACATAAATGGGCGCCAACTGGACAATATAAATGGAAACTTACATGGAAATAAAGCATGAAATATATTTAGTTAATATGTGACTTACTTTAATCTTGTCTTGAGGTCTTTGAAGTTAGGCCTCTTGGAAGGTTCGTACGACCAGCACAGTGTCATCACGCTGTACAACGTCGGAGGGCAGGCAGCCGGCATGGGTAACCTCTCGCCGTTCTCAATACGACCTATGACCTCGTTGTTCTTGACCCCCTGGAAGGGCTTGACCCCGTACATGAGGATCTCCCACATACAAACACCTGTGAATCAAACATGAATTGAATTGAAATTGAAATTGAATTAAAAAATAATTTGAATTAAATTTGAATTTGAATTAAAATTGTTATTGAAATTGAACTTGAAGAGCATGTCAAACAATGGAGATAGAATTTACATACAGGTCAAAATCGAAAATTTGTGTTTCCAAATTTGAAATTGAATATTTGAATCCACTGTACATTGCAATTCTAAAGTATTTTCAAATCAGAAGCACTGTTTTACATGCACATTGTAACTTCCTGTTACATGTACCTATATGTATATCAACACTTTATATAAAATTGTTCTGATGTCATCAGTATTAAATTAACATCATTTTATCCCACTCTACATTATGCTACTGGCATACATGAACAGCTCCCTCTCTTAATGAAAAGCAGGACAGCTTTCCTGGTTACACTGTATCATTTGATCCCTGAGTTTTCTATCACAAGTTGACATTAAAGTTTCCCCTTATCATTACCTCAATAGCGCCATCTATGGCAAAATGCAGGACAATGTACCTGGAGAGAGTGTCATAACTGATGGCACGAAAGTAAGTAACTCCTCATAAAAGGAAAATGCTGACTTCAATAAACGATGATGATGATGAAGGGTACAGGAGAACTCAATTCTAAAACATGTCGGCATGCCGGTGCCCTTGGCTTAAACATTGATGCATCTTCTGTTAAGTAATCTAACATTTCATCTATTGAGAGCCAGAAGGGTATTATGTAATTAATAATAACAATAATAATAATTAGATCAATTTATATAGCACAGCTACTGTATAAATATACTCTACTGTGCTGTGATGAAGAAGGAAAAAACTTGTAACAGTGCTACACTGTACTTTACAGACAAAAAATAAAAACTTTTCAAAAGCTTCTGAAAACAAGTGCATCTTCATCAAAACTTTGAAGAAAGCAACGGATGAGGTTAGTGGTAGGTTATTCCAAAGCTTTGGAGCGGCTCTACTGAAAGCACAATCTCCAAGAGTTACTTTTGTTTTTGTGAGAGGTAGCTTTATACAGGTTCATCTATATGTCTCGAGTTAAAGGCCCTCTTAGATCTCAGCACATGATTTCTACAAGAATCTAAAAGCTTCTCTTTCAACCAAGATCTCTTTTCATGACCTTGACAGGGTTAACTCACCAAACATCCAGACGTCACTGGCAGATGTGAATCGTCTGAAGTTGATAGATTCCGGGGCCATCCACTTGATGGGTAGCTTGCCTTTGGAAGCTAAAGGACAAAATAAAAAAAGGTCATGAATCTTGTGTCAACAATAGGAATCTAAAGAGAGATACAAGGCAATGTATGAAATCAGTTATTCCATGAAGTAATATAAAATAATAATACTACTACTACTAATAATACTCAATTTTATATAGCACTTATTACAATCACTAAGCGCTTCCAAACTTGGAAATTATTACCCTGGCTTTAGCTGTGCTGCCATTGCGACGCTCTAGCATTTCAAAGAATTAATTCCTGCCAGGTACCCCTTTACATCACCTGGGTCGAGTGTGGCAAATTTACATCAATGTCTTGCCAATCAAGTCTCATTCCTGAGATCACCCCCCCCCCCCCCTCCCCCCCTTCTTGTTTCTCATTCTGATATAGTGCATTCAGAACGATGTACATTTGTGGTGGAACTTACTGCTTTTTCAAAAAAAAATTGCATATCAATAATAACAATCTCAAAAGATCTTGACATACATGTACATTATTGCCCATGTATCAGTTTCAAACCAGCACACAATTTGTCATTATTTGTAAATTGTATGATATGCCTATAGATATATTTTTACTCTACAAATATGCCCATGTAAATGACAATATATGCTTGTGCAGAACTTTATATGAATAGCTAAATTTATGAATTATAATTAATTGTAACATGTAATATCATTATTCTTGTTCTATGAAACAGTGAAGGACCAGGGGGTTGTTTCACAAAGACTAAGATCGACTTTAAGTTGGACTTAACTACATGGCAGGCTGTTCATGCCACTGATTTCTCTCACCATTGGTCTCTCAATTATGATCTTTAGATGATATTTTTTCCTGCAATAATGAACTATCCACATACACGGTAGGTAAATTCTGTAGATTTGTGAACATGATTTGTACGTCCCTTGAGAGACAAATGCCAGTAAATGGTGAGAGCAAACAGTGACATGAACAGCCTGCCATAGTTAAGTCCAACTTAAAGTTGATCTTAGTCTTTGTGAAACACCCCCCTGTAATAGTAATCACCTTTGTAGTATGAGTGATCATGGAGTAATCTTGAGAGACCAAAATCACCCAGTTTGACATTGTCCTTAGCCACTACCAAGAGATTCCTTGCTGCGATATCTCTGAAAAAGCGAAGAAATCAGACAAATAAGGTCAGAATAATTATTATTAAAATCTGATTCCTGTGCTGGTTTATATCACATTCAGAGTTAAACTTCAAAGAGGCAATCTTGAATTCAAACATGGTATTGAATTGAAACGGTATTTTTTTTAAAAAAACCATATCGCAGCTCAAGAGCTGAATATCATGGAAATACAAGTACATGTACATACATAGATATAAAGAGTAAAATATAAATGTGATATACTATTCTTAAAGACCGTCAATACTACTGGGCCAGAAGGGATTAGATCACACAGCGAGGTCACTGAAGGTGGCTATCTCATTAACTCAGCTCTCAACTAACGTAAGAAAAAGAGGATCATGGGGGACCAACAGGCACCGATTGGGGAAGTTTTCTGTATAGAGGGAGCAAGTAGCTACAAGTAGGACAGTGGGGCTTTAAGACGTTCTTGTAAAACAAATGGAATAGTACATGTTTTGTGAAGATTGCAAATATCAAACATGGCTTTTTAAAATCAAATCACAAAACATTTATGATTGAATTAAATTGTTAATTACTATTTTAAACTCCTGTGCAAATTTCTTGATTTCTAAATATGACAGAGGCATACTAATCATATATGATCAGTGAGGCTAATTTAGCTAATATGTCCTCAGTAACTCAAAGGGGAAGACCACCCTGATTTTAAGTTGGATTTAATCGAGGCAGAAAATTGAGGGAAAGAAATTAGTGAAAGTTTGACCAATATCCGATTAAAAGTAAGAAAGTTATGAGTTTTTGAAGTTGCGATCAATCAAACACAAATTGGCAACTCTGTGACGTATATTACAAGTTCCCCTCCCACTTGCTCTGAACATAAAATGTCATTAACTGCCATTTTCTTAGATATTGATGACAGAATAGATTTGCTTCATACAGGGGTTGTATAAAAACATATTGCAACAATTATACTTAGGGCGCATGTACATGTATGAATAGAAATTTTCTTTAGGGCAAATTAATACCAGTGTGGACCTCCCTCTAAGGCCTTTAAAAAAAGATGTTGTATTGCCCTTTAGGTGCCAAAACATGGGTCGGTCAGTCAGAAAAGATTTTTTTTAAACTTTATTTCACTCCCTCTTAGGCTGATATTTCTCATTTCTAAATGCTTTGAATACATTTTTTTTCTAAAAAAAACTTTGTTTTAAAGCCGACTGTAGAGTTCAAGATTTTTGGGTTCGTCGCAAAGGGCAATACAACATCTTCTTTTTTTTAGGCCTAATGTTCCATTTGGTGAAATTCTGTTCTAACGGCTTACCTGTGGACAAACTTCTTGCTCTCTAGATAAGAGAGAGCCATGCTGAGCTGGTAAGCATACAAGATCAGTGAAGCTAACGTCAACTCATCTTTGTGCGCCTGTAAAAACATCCTCATCTGCAAGAGAGGGATGAATACATTTTAAAGGAGAATTATTTATTTATTTATTATCTATTTGGCACTTTCAAGAAATATAACATTAAACCACTACAATCATGGTGAAGACAAAACTAGAAAGACAAAACTTATACAAATACACATTTTTGTAGCAATATTCTGAGTGCAAAAGATGGCGGCCAGGGAAGAAGAGAGCAAACTTAATCACTGTAACCGTATAGGTTCCTCCACCCAACCAACTGATGCACTCAGAAGGCTGGTAAAAATATAGCATAAGGACAAATAAGAGAGTAACAAATCCAAGGATAAACAATATGTATGTATGAAAAACATACTCATCTGGAAATGGATAAGAAAAAGATTTCTGATTGTGTGAGAAATTACAGGTGATGATCCACAGCGCTTGTATGGCGCCATTTATCTGTTTTAAACATAAAGGCCCCCGCTCCTTCAATAAGTGAGTTCGTAATTAGGATTTGCGCATGTGCAGATAAAGGTCATTCGGACCCAAATTGTAAAACCATTGAGACAAATACTTGTATCGTGCTCATGAAAGTTATGTAACTAGTATTCATTTATGTACTGACAGTACATTTATCTGATACACAGGTGGAAGTACCGGTATTCTTCTCAAGAGGGCAAACAAACGGTATTCATAAAGCACCTCCATCACTTTACAGTGATTATTCTATAAAATGCACAAGTGGGACGTATCCATAGTGTAAAAGATCTTTGGATATTTGGGGGTCATGCGTTCCAAAGCTATTTACGAACCGGCTTATAGTCATGGACCCATAAAAAGATTGGTTTAGAGGCCTGACTTGAAAAGATGTACCTTGAAATGATCAACCATGGATACTAGACGAGATTTTTCCCGCCCAGGTTATGCAACTGGGCACCGTTTACCGATACCGTGACAACCCGATGAAACGTGTATATTAAATTGATCGCATGGTTCAATGGGATGTCGGTGAACTTGTACTTAGGACGGTCTTGTGAAAGGATACCCTGGTTACCTCTCCTAATGGATCAGTGCATGCATGTGCATGACTGTACGTGCACTCCTATAAACCTATTGGATACAACTTGATTTGGTTTAACACACAGTGTCTAGCCCAAGTTATCTCAAGTTTTGTTAAAGCCCCTTTTAAGTGTTGGGAGCCCCAAATTTGCCAAAAATTTGATGGCAAAATTTCCCTGAAATTATATCATAATGTGAAAGAGGATGTCATTTAAGACACATTTCTGCAAAGATTCCCCCCCCCCCACCAAATGTGTTTGAAGACAAATATTGATAAAAGAATACATACATGTAATATGGGTTTTCTGTTGTAATGTACGCAGAAAACCTGAATTTTTATATTCTTTCATCAATATTCGACCACGATGACATCCTCTTTCATATTATGATTTAAGTGAAATTTTGTCGTCAAATTTGTGGGCTCCCAACACTTCAGAGGGGCTTTAACTCGACATTTCTCGACAATTCTTGACAATTCTTACCTCTCCAAATGGGGCTAGCTCCATGACAATCCATATAGGTGGATCAGTGCATACTCCTATTAACTTGATGATGTGAGGATGGTCAAATTGCTTCATTATATCTGGAAATAATTTTTAAAAGACACAAGATAAAAGATGGTATTAAAAAGGAATTGCTTCTTAGACAAGCACAGTGGAAAATGTAATATAACATTCATTCATTCATTTCGGTTTATTGTGCCAAAATTCCATGTTAAAACAGTCGGGAGACTGATGCAGTCTCCCGACCATCTGGGTTGGTATACAATAACATACTTTGCCATCTTCATTTTTTTGCATACTTTAATAATCATTACAAAACTTAAAGGGTATGAATAATTTAGTTGTTTAACTGTATATACTTTTATATCCTTTTAGCCGAGTAGACAGGTGTCTGTTAGGAATTTCAAGGTGCATGCTGGTCTAGATACCCTTTTTTAAACCCCAACATAACCTTTGGCTATGTATGGCTGTCCAAAGATGCTCACCAACTGGTCCAACACCTGTGATTTATAGTGGGAGTGACTCAACATCGCAAGTCTTTAAAATATGTTTGTTGGAAAGAGGGTGAAAAAGTAAAAAGTATTTTAAAAAGACAGAATTGGAACATGAATTGCAGGAAGCGGTTAGAGCAGAAAATTCCAGGAATACAATGCGTACTAGACCAAAAATTGAGATCTTTGGAACAAATGGGAACATTGTCCACCATTGCATCACAGAGACTGTGAGAGACATGACAGATTCAGCCAATTTGAAGAGTCTATACCTAAAATAGTGATTACAACTTTCAAAATTCATACCTTTCACATTTTGGGGGTCTGATTTCCTTCAAACTTTCACCTGTCTACTTCCCTGATTTTTCAGCTTTCCTCTAAAGTAATTTGCCATCAAGGTAGGATTTCCCTTTAAGCTGCCCCATTCTCCCCATTTGGCCAGGTTGACCATGGCCATGTCCTGCCATCTACTGAAAAAGGATACCCCTCTCTCAGCTCTACTGACCATCCCTTGATCTATATCACCGTTCCTCCCTTTAAAGCCCCACTATACTACTTGTAGCTACTTGCTCCCTCTATATAGAAGACGATGCCTAATCGGTGACCATTGGTCCCCCATGATCATCTTTTTCTTATGTTAATTGAGAGCTGAGTTAATGAGATAGCCTCCTGTCAGTGACCTTGCTGGGTGATCTAATCCCTCCTAGCCAAACTAGTACTTTTTTAAAGGTTGCATCATTGATTTGCACATAAAATCTCTCAATCTTCTCTCAACGTTGATAGTAGGATGTTTAGAGGAGGCACGATGGCTCAATGGTAGAGCAGTGGTCTCGTAACCGGAGGTCCCGGGTTCAAAACCCAGTCAATGTGTTTTTGCTCTAATAAGGATTTAACCATCATAACCAAGTCCCTCGGAGAGGACTTGAAGCCATACTTCCTTGGTTGCTTACTTACAAGCATGAACAAAGTAAAACAAAGAAAATAAACTTACATGCTTCTTCTAGGAATCTCTCTCCAAGTGCTTGAGTGCTCTCGACTTTACACGTCTTAACAGCAACCTCGACCTTCTCATCCTGAGAGTTACGAATCAAGAAGGAAACAAAAAGAGTGGTAAAAATAGTGATGAATAAAAGTTGTATAATTAACATATAGAATGAAAAGCAATGTCTATTTTCTTGATTTTCTAATCCTACAGGTAAATAATAGGAATTCAAAATTAAAAAACAGATACATACATGTAGATACATTGGTAAACATCACTGGTAATCTTTTGTAGAGTAAAAGTTACATGATAGAATGTGGAGAATTAAAAGCAACCGCCGCTTTCTCATCCTGCAAGTGAATAATCAAAATAGGAATGAATGAGGAACATAAGCTCATAAATCTATTCCATCATTTGGATACACTGACATTTTCTAAATTTGAATTCTAATAATGGAGTGTTAACTGCACAAGACACTGCTCTTATTTATAAGGGAATCTACAATTTACAAGCCTAGCTTTTTACTATATTAACTCATATTTCACTGCCAATATATTTGTCTAATTTGAGTTTAAATACCATGCAATTGTACATTTGTATTTCTATCTCCGTATTTTATTTCAACTCTATTATTACTTTGATGGCTTGATATCATTACCGTAAATGTATCCTTGTTCATTCTCATTGTTTATTGCTCACGATTTCTATCAGGAATGTAAATGTGATCGATAAAATAAAGTAAAGCTGAAAACCGAAACTGTAAATGTCTAAGTATTTTATTGGTGCTTGTGATTGTTTATATCATCTATCAGTTACAAGCAAATGAACAATCAAAAGTCATATTTGTCTCATTAATCAAGTATCCCATTACAATCACTCACATAGCATCAATACCTTTGTGCTATAAACTTCTTTCTAATTAACATTCACTCTGGGGGTTAATTTGACTAATTAGTCAAGCAAGTACAGACACCTTTTTTTACCTTTTCATTATTTGCGTGTTTGACACAAGGAGGGTGATGTGGTATATATAATTCACTCATTTCCTCTCATCATACTGACGAACACTGACAGGTTTATATTTAGTTCAAGTACGCAATACAAGCATATGCTCATGTGAGGAATTGAGAGACAGAGAGAGAGGTAGAGAGAGAGAGACAGAGAGACAGAGAGAAAGAGGGGGAGAGGGGAAAGAGAGAATGATGGTTGGGCATAAGGATAGATAGAGAAAGGGAGACAAGAAAGAGACTGATATATTCATATATAAAGAGGGATAGATACACAGAACGACCGACATACGATACAGAGACAGGCAAAGAGAGGGAGAGAGAGAGGGAGAGTGTGTACATGCCGGGGGGGGGGGGGGGGGGGTGTGCGTGTGTGTTTATGATTGTGTGTAGGGGGGGGGGAATACCTGTACATTTAAAAAAAGGAAAATCTAGGAAATTACGCAAAGAATTCTATCCATAATGAATATTAAGTTGGACAGAAAATTATTCTTTAACAAATTCATAAATAAATGAACAGTCAAAATAATGTGTGAATATCAAAAAATTACAAAAAATTAGAACATTTTCTAAAACAAAGTTGACAACAGATTCTGGCAGAGTAAGAGGACAAAGGAGAGAGGCTTTATGTTGGTGGAATCTTTTGTCATTTTGCAAAAGTAATTGCTTCCTGTCACGGGGGAAAAACAGAAACGATGAAAAATAAATGGATGACATGTTTGGAAGCTGACAAGTAGCAGGGGCGATCAACGTCAGATTTCTAAATAATGAACTACCGTTTATAATTGAGGAAACCTGACACTTTAATCAAGATAAGAATTATATTTGGGGAAAATGTTGAGATAATGACAAGAATTTGTTTTTTATTTTCATTTTTTATTTGACAGGGTAGTCCTTTCAGTCAACAACAAAAATAAAAATAAAGGATATTCTTGACATTTTGACAAGAAGACTTTGTATCAAATTTGTGTTTGTCCTAAGTTTGTTGTTTTCAGTGGATTTATCCTTTACAGTGGCACCAAGTTACACTGTGCAAAGAAAATCACAAATTTGATTGTATGGGGAAAATATCCTATCCTAGTATATTCGAACAAACACTTTTACATGCCATAATTCATGGATTCATTTTCAATTTCAAGAATACAAGCTTCTCATTATATATGTATTCTTTTTCGAAAATCATCATCATTTGACCATTAACCTCTCACTGAATTAAATTTAATACACCAGTTTACAGTTGTGTGCGCCATTTTAATTGGCGAGTAAACAAAGCCAATGATGTATTTATGCGTAAATTAAGATTGCGCCCATGCAAATTATGATGATATCACTGCCTGCGCGCTGCGTTGTGCGCGCATATCATCATTTGCATGGGCGCAATCTTAATTTACGCATAAATACCACTGACCTTGGGTTATTGGCTTTGTTTACTCGCCATTTAAAATGGCGCCCATGTCTGCGCATGCGCACTGATACAACTGTAAACTGGTGTAGTGAATAGCAATGAAAAGGGCTTGAGGGCTTTTAAAGGAGTGTTACAAAGTATGCTAAAATGATGTCTTTCACATAATTTCCAAAGCGCTTAGTGTAAACTAGGTATCAAAGATAGAGTAAATACAAGGATGTTTCTCTCTATCAAAATGGCCTGTCTTTAGGAATAATAACAATTGACATACAAGCAACAACCTCCTACCCAGGGAGATGCGTAACATCATCCAAAAGTTCTTTTCTAAGATAACACACCCCAGTTCCTGTTTGTCTTATTTGACAAATTGCAACAGGAGTCCAAAACTTGGCAAGAACTATCTGTCTGAATCTATAGGTGAGTTTTCGCTTAGTGACAAAACAGCGACTGATTATTATTTCACTGGATGCAGAAAATGAGGCCAAAAGAATTGGGCAATACCCAAAAGTGCTGTAACTTCTTAATCGTATTAACCCACTAAAAAAAGTTTGCCAGTTGTTTTGCAACTAACATTGCATTTCCAACAACAAAAATAGCATGGGGAATTTTGGATTTAAAATATGAATTAATTCTCCCCTATTTCTTAAAGCATGGCTTCTTCTTTTTTAGATAAAGTTAGTGAATTTTTAAGAAAATCATAATATACAGGTATTTAATATGTACCTATTCAAAATTTGTTGTTAACACAAAGGTTTTATGACCACAAAGAAACAAACTAGTTGCAAAATTTTACAATTGATTATCAAGCAGAAAAGAGAAGAAAAATTGAACAAGCTTGTAACACAAATATCAGCTACATGAACCTCCTATAAAAGTAGTTATTTGTTAACTTTACTCCTCATTACATCCATCTCTTGGTTGCATAAGTGTTTTTTTACTTTTGCTGATATTATGCTGAGTGAAATGAATTTGAAGAGAATCGTATCCAACTTCTTGGCCAAGTGAGAGTAAAATAGAATTATCAATAGACCTACATTTCTGTAGAGACATGTACATATTAAAGATAAAGTTGAGTTCTGGTCATGCGATTGCATTGTGAAAGAAAAGGTGTGGAATGGATCAGAAAAAGTTGATCATGTAGCATGTAAGTATTGGTGTGTACTGCAAAGTTCTGGAGTCATCAAAATCACAATAAATTTAGCCCAGTCTTTATAAAGTAAAAAGAACTGTACATAGAAAGATGTATATGGGACTACACAAATGGTGTCGGGGTTACTTACCTTGATTTCCTAATCTTTCTATGCTCATTCTATGCAAAATTGTTTGGCAAATGACATTTACTTGTACTCTTGAACATTCAGTGTAAGTTTTGTTTGATTCTGTGAGAATTCATTTTCTTTTTTTTACCAGAACTCACCTTTATCTTTAATATTTTTCTTTTTGCATCACATGCTTCTGAAACAGTGAGCAATTTGGAATAATGAATGATCAGCACATAAATGGGCTGTAGGCTAATCCAACTCAATTCATTAGCAGTCTTGGCTTCGGATAATCTCCTGTATCTACTGTTTCCTATTTGGATTAATTACAGTAATCCCTTGAGAATCCGATACCTCACTTCCATGGAACCCTATACTGCAATATTGGAACACGTCACCCTGTATATGTATTATGTGCATGAGTATCGTTTGCAGTGGTAGGGAAGAGATAGCATCTGCTGTATACTGAAACCATGCATTTGTCATCAAATTTTGATGTTAAATTTGTATTCAAATGACAAATGAGCCAACACGGATAAAAGATACATGTAGATGTTATGTACAGAAATGTGATATGTAGAGAGGTAAATTATCTTCTGCACTGAGCCAGAAAGTCATTATGAAACAACATGAGCTTATTCCCTTCCATCACTCAGAAGCAAATAAACATACAAATTTCATCCACTTCTTTACGCTCCCAAAACTCTGGATTTCTTGTTCTTCGAAAGCTCAGGCTTACCCTGGTTCGAAACTAAGTCACATCTTTTTGTATGGTGACGTTAGAGGTCGGTCCCAAGACGGAAATAATCATATCTGATTGATATGTAAAAACCCAATTACACACACACATGCAAACACAAAACTCTTAGAACTACCCTCCTACCTGGTCTATATAAATGCCCTTGTGGACATCTCCAAACTGGCCCTGACCAATGGTCTCAACGAGAGTGACCAGCTCTCTTGATATCTCGTAGTCCTTAGCCGCCGGCATGGCATAGTCGTCATCGTCGACGATCTCGGCATAGTCATCAGACAGACCACCTGATGATGATGGGAGAAGAGAAAGGGGGTTAAAAAAATTGGTTAAATAATGATCATTACAGAGTGAATGATTTCTCAGCACAATGTATACATGTGTATCAAATGTTTGTAAGCACTTCAGGGCCTTGTTTCATAAAACTTGATATCAATAGCAAATTACGATAACAGTAAGTGTTATAAGCTACTGAAATCATTGCCTTTGATTGGCTGAGAGCAAATTTGTTATAGAATTTCAATTCCATCATTTTTTATTGATAACAATTTTTATGAAGCAGGGCCCCTATCACTTACCTGGGAATACAAAGGTTGATTCAAGAAAAAGCCGGGAAAAGGGAAAGTGGCAGGAAGCTGGATCTTTCAGTGACTGAATACGGTATCTACATTTCTGTGTCAGTTTGAAGCTTCATGTATGTCTGTTTGTAATTTTTCCACACCAATCAATTCACAGCATAGCCAATAGAGTAATGTAAAAATAAGGGGGACGGGTCAGAAGGGGGACGGGTCAGAAGGTGGTGAAGGGTTGAATGAATGACCATGTGACTGATATATTGTTCTTAAGATGGACCTGAGCCCCGTCTTATAAGCTCGCAGCTAAATACATAAGCAATAGGGGACCGCAAACTTGCGATTAATTGCAGGACTTGTGATTGTCTTGGATCCATCGCAACTCTTTACAAGACGTGAGGGTAAGGGATGGGATGGGGCGGGGGGCGGCCTTATTTTGTTTTACTCGCATGGATGTGAATCATGGTCACTGAAGGAAGAGAGCAACATAAATCTCTCTACATGGCTCTCGTATCTCTATCCTACCATCTCTCTAGGCCTGTCTTCATCAGCTAGAGATTGCCAAACAGCCCGCTATTTCTAATTGGGAAATAATCCGGAAGTTGCAAATCGCGTTTTCATCAGCTCGAGATTTGACCTTGGTCCTTGAAACTTGGCCTCGAAAAAATTAGCCCGAGATATTTTGCTCAGCAATTCGCGCAAAGTGCGAGTCTTTGGACTGGTGAAGACGCACTGGACAACTAGTGGGATATTTTGCAAACTAGCCCAAGATATCTTGGGATGATTATTTCAACCAAATATCCCGCTAATTGCAACTCCGGGCTGATGAAGCCGCATATTAACTGGATAATTTGCGATCAGGATAGTTCAAATAGTGGGATATTTTTGCAATCTCGAGCTGACGAGGACAGGCCTTATCCTACCATCTCTGTGCCCCCCTAAGGAACCCTGGAAAGCTACCCTTTATCCTTTGTCGTATCAAGGACAACGCTCACCTCCTAGATACAAAGGGGCTTCAAGTGAAATAACCACCCCCCCCCCCCCTGCAGATATTACAGGGTCTCAGATTGGCCTTTCAGCCTCCTCCAAACCCTTGGACCATATCCTGCTGATATTCTGGAGCTTAGATTGGCCTTTCAGTCCACTCTAAAAAAACCTCAACAACTCCAAGAAGATGATACAGGAACAGTGATTAAGATTGAGATCTTCTTCAAACATAAGAACAGACATGACCAGCATCCTACCCTTGAATGTGATAACACTGATGGTGTTACCAATGGAAAGTATCGTAACACTATCATCATCCTACATTTCCACTTCTTTTTCTCTCCCCTTCCTAGTCTAAATCAGATTATAACCCACTGGATCAGTATTCAACAGCTTAATCTCATCAAAAGTCTAAGACATCACCCATTCTTACTTTACAACGCTTCTCTACAGATGGCTCTTTTTCATGAGGGCTCCTTTTCTAATTTCTGTGGAATGAAAATTTGAGTTTGGATTTCCCTTTAAGCTGCCCCATTCTCCCCACTTGGCTAGGTTGACCATGACCATGTCCTGTCATCTGATGGTTGATACTGGAAAGGATACTCTTCACTCATCTCTACTGACCATCCCTGGATCTATATCATTCTTCCTCTCTTTAAAAGGTTGCATCGTTGATTTGCCTCCTACATTTTCTCTCAATCTTCTCTTAACTTTGGTAGTTGTACATGTTTAGAGGAGGCGCCAAGGCTCAGTGGTAGAGCAGTGGTCTTGTGTCCTTTGGTAAGGCTTTAATCCTCATTACCAAGTACCTCAGAGAGGACTTAAAGCCGTCGGTCCCCATGGTTGCTTACTTACAAGAATAAACATGCTTTTTTGGCAGTCGGGTTAAACAATCCTCCAACACTGTCACATAAAGATAATTGAACTTCTACTTTCAGGATGGGACTGAGTAGGATCCAAATGTGGATCTAATGCATAATGCAACGTTTAACATACATGTATAAAAGCTGAAGTTTCAGACTGGTTTAGAATATTGTTCATACAGGTAGAATAATGAAATTCCAATTGACTTACAACTGTGACTTTAATAGACAGCATAATAGCTAAAGATTGTTTTTACAGTTTGAGACATCCAGTTAAAAACAATTGCTTGTGGTTCAGCTAGGGTGATAATTGCAAACCATCCTTCCTACAAATGTCTTTACTTTTTAGATTTCTTGCAATGAACGAGTTCCTGACTCAACCCATTGCATTATGGGAACCCGAGGGTTCCTGTACTCGACCTATGGGAATGACAGAATTAAGTACTAGGTTTAATAAGGAAAAGGAAATCATGAACAAAAGAAGACATTTTGTGATTAAAATCTTAAACCTTAAAGTTGGATGTAAAATTGACTGGACATACCTGATTTGATGGTGGGCAGTTTCTTGCGTCCACTGACGGTGACTTCATTGCTGCCCTCTGTTGACGGGAGCCGGCTGTAGGTGAGACAATGTAAGAAGCAATTGATAAAGTAATGCCACTTTTTGTGCAAGCGTTCCTTCTTCATACCGATTCTGTCGACACGTGTTAAAGTTACGTAATCATAAACGTGTCTTTCCGGCATGGTCCTTGATGAGTTTCGATGGCTTTATTATTCACATACAGGGAATTGATCAAAAGAGAATATCTGGTTCCATCCATTATCAAGAAATCAAATCAAATCATCTTGATGACACCATGCCCAGGGCAATTACATAGTAGCACAGCGATCACTATATGTACATTAGTTCCCCCACAATCTTATAGGGCTGAAGTCCTCTCATTCAAAATGAGAAATTGTAACGGATGCATGTTTTTGGCTCTTGCAGAGGAGTTTAATCAGTATCAGAATGTTTATCATGTCCATGTGTATGAATCATATAACTAGGTAGGAAGCATTTGCCGCACATGTTTGGATACTGTACATGAACATGCATTGCAACGCAGGCATTGATCCAAGTGCAATGTCAACAAGGATTCAAAGGCATCATACTTTCTTCATTATTAAAACTAGTGTAAATCCATAAATTCTCATCAGACTTCCAGTACATGTGCATGTGTACACTGTATACATGTAGGTACACTGGAATTGTTGACTCAAGTTTAATATAATAATTAATATAATCAGTTGCTTTCTCTTCACAAATTCTTGTACAGATCTTCGAAGCTTAGGGAAAGTATCAACAAAAGTCCCAGTCCGAAGGAAGCTCTTCAAAGGATTCTAAAAAAAACTATAAAAACAGGCAATCCAGATCAATTTAGGCATTTGTTCTAGTTAGTCCACACTAAATATGCAGGACACTGATGAGGACATTATCAAAATTTCAAAAAAGCGTTGTAGATTTTTCCAGAGTATCAACAAAGTGAAATAAACATGAGTTGAATAGAGTGAAGAGGGCAAGAGCCGATCACCCCCTGAGCTGCCCTTGTCTTGAATATATCTATGTAACAACTGATGAGATAAGAGGTACAGAAGTAGGCTACTAAAAATTGTTTTAGTCAACAATTAATCATGTAGCATTCTCATCTACATTTCCATGTCCTCCTTTCAATAAGTGCCGATGTTCTGCCAAACATACAGACAGGAACCTCAAAGATTGCTTTCACAGAAGAAGAAATTAATCAACAAAGCAGCACAGGTACATTATACAGGAAATCAATGTCACATCCTGATGTTTAATACTCAGCCCATGTATTTGTTTAATCCAGGTGAACACAGGCGGTTAAAAACCAGAGGGTGGCTTTTCCGATTTACTGCGATATCGATTGTTCACAGACACAGACAGTACTTTGCATTGCTCCTATCTGTCCAGTATTAAAGGTACAACGAAACAAAGCTGACGGAGAGAAGCATTGTACGTAACGCCTCTGATAGGGGATCACCGGCAGGCTGTACGAGGCATGACTGACTCAGACAAGAGCGTGCTGGCTGGAGGTGAAATGGAGAGCGATGGACCGGTAGCATGAACCCTGATCATGACGTGACTGAATCCTGGTCTGGCCTTCAGTACACACTATCTGCCTGCCCCTTAAACTCTGTCAATGTTGGGTTTGAATGATGGGGAGAGAAGGTGGATGGGAAAAAACCAAAAGAGGCCTGTTTTCATCAGCTTGAGATTCCCAAAAATAGCCCGTTATTTCTGATTTGGAAAATAATCCAGAAGTTACAAATCGCGACTTCATCAGCTCGAGACTTGACCTCGAAACTTGAAACTCAAACTCGAGAAATTAGCTTGAGATATTTTGTTCAGCGTTCGCGCATAGTGCAAGTCTTCGGAGGGATATTTTATCAAAAAGCAGGATGTTCTGCAAACTAGCCCAAGATATCTTAGGATGATTATCTCAACCAAATATCCCGCTAAATATAACTTAGGGCTGATGAAGACGCAAATTAACTGGATAATTTGCGATCGTGATAGTTCAAATAGCGGGATATTTGGCAATCTCGAGCTGATGATGACAGGCCTAAGGTAGGGGAACCAGGAAGTTGCAGGTGGAGAGAAGGGGCACCCAAGAGTGATTATACCGGTATGCAATTATACTCGAGGAAGACGGATATAAAGGGAGGGTAACATGGACAAAAATGATAAAAAATTAAGTCAAAGAGAGTACAACAACAGAGAACGGAGAAGGAGCTGTTATATTACAAGAAAAATGTACTAAATATAGTAAAAAATGTTTCAAGTTGACAGCTTTGACAAGGGTATAAATAGAAAGATTTTTGGAAGACCTTCAAGAAGACAAAGAGCACATAGGATAAGAACATTATGGAAATGTGGCTTAATGAGGATCATATTAAAGGTACTATGTCCCATTTGCAGGCCAAAAAATGAAAAAGTTAAATTCCAACTGCATTTGAAAGATAATACTAATTTAGAACTTCCCTAAAAAAGGTGGGGTTTGAAAATGTCTTCAAGTGGGAAAATAAAGACTATTAGTTGTCAAATCGACTTTAGGGCTATAGAGCCCCAAAGTAATAGTCTTGATTTTCAGACAATTGTACCGAATGGTCATTTATGCTGCGCAAAGATTCAATCAGTTTAATCTTGGCCATCACAAGAGGTGGGTTATTGATGTAGACAAATGCTCATGTACCCTTTACAACTCTTTTCATGTATGTTATTACCAAAGAAGAAAAAGAGCCAGTCAGTCACTCAATAGTGTCTGACAGTGAAGTCTAGCAAGTAAACGGGTTTCCTTGCATAATTTGAATATGAGGACACTGCTAACGTTTAAATTTAACAGATAGGACATACATGACATATTCACAATTCCTGCAAAGTTCTACATAATTTGAGGTTGGCTGCAAAAGGGACATACAGGTGTAGTACCTTTAAGTAAAAAAAAAAAGACATCACTTCCAGTTATATCAAAATGACATAAATTTTACAACAATTAAAGAAATGAAAGGAAGGTAAAGATGGGAGACTTTCAGAGATGATATTGACAGGGTAGCGCTTTCATATATTTTGTTTTGCAGGCACAGGAGTTGTGAACAAAGATATCACAAATACAACAAAATGGTGAAAACTGTGAAAAACTTGAATAAGTGGAATACAGACATTGAGTGCTGTCAGCTTTAAAGGGATCGTTTAACAATGTTAAATCTGAGATACAGGGTCCTACATGTTACCAGTGTCTGTGATATGGTGTAATATTGAAGCCCTAAAAAAAATTGCGCTTCAAAATGATCAAGAAGTGCCTCAAAAAAGTAAAAAATCTTTAAGTGACCGGTTTTATCATACTCGTTTTCCCCAATAGACTGTAGTGTTATGAAAACCGTTCAGCGAACGGTTTTCAAAATTTGTAATTCCAATCATTAATATCTTGATAATCAGACAGGCGATCGGCCTGTAAAAGTCATGGAGTTCCTGACTGACCTAAAGGTTTATAATTATCATTGCAGCATGAGCTAAATCAAGGATTATTTCTAAAGGATCTAAGACAAAGAGACCGGATCCCTTTAATAAAGGTAAGGATACTGCATGAAAATGACATCAAACCACAGTTAAGGAGAGACAAACTGACATGAAGACAAACAGACAGACAGAGACAGACACAAGGGTTTGGGATTTTCAAAGAGTATGTCATGAATTGATAGCCAAATCTTTGTGTCTTTAAAGGTATTACAAAGTTTTGGTATGGGGTCATGAATTTGGTTCAAATTAACATATTGGAAGCATATGCGTTCCTACAATATTAATTGATCATTGTCGCGGTTGAAATCGAGTCTAAAGTTATAAAATTTATAAATAATAAACTCTTTATGTTGTATAGCGCCCTCTCAAGATCAAGATATTAATTTAGATATGAAACAATGGTTCTTGACTAAAATCGACTGATTAGCTATTCCCGTTTGGAAATTATATATCACAACTACGTAGTCCGAGATTTTCATGGTCGCAGCTACCATTGTACGGCCATAGGCGCTATTTGAAATTTATCAAAATTTACCGGGAGCACCGGTAAAATTTTATATTAACTTTTTCTCGAAAACAGAAGTGTTTTAGGGGCTAATTTTTTAAATGCTTATAATACATCCACAGGGGCATCCAAATATTTCAAAATTGTAAAGATTCACTATCCACCCAATTTTCAAAATTTACCAAAACTTTGTATTACCTTTAATATCTTGCTGCATTTGCTAAACACAATACCTATTTTGTGTACAGATGACAGATCGTACTTTGATTCCCTCCTCAATCTGAACTGGGGTAAGACAGCTTCAAGATTAGTCATCAGCATGTGATGTCATTTCACCAGGGTGCACGGGTTCCTCTGAGCTAAACAGCTAAACAGAGGATGCCATCCACGTGCCTCTCTTAGAGGGCAAACTATTACTAACAGTAGTAAAGACAAATACTAACATTTAACTAATTGGGGGTCCATTCAACATCAGAACAACTTCTGAAGAGCCCCTTCGTACAAATTGCACATTGCAATTCTTTAAAATAAAATAAAAATGAAAAAAAGGTAGCCTACATGTATAGTTCTTGGGTTAGGATGTGTGTTTTAACATGTACATGTACTAGGCAAAGTTTCTAGCCATGCAAAATAATTGAAGATGAAATAAGGGGAGGGGGTGGGTGAGGTTTTGAAACTATCAAATGTAGGTTTTTAAAAAAATGGAGAAATGTCAGGACGGTAAAATTGTGCAAACTCATTATAATAAGCCTTTCCCTGGCTATTCACAGATCATTTTCCAAGGGTCATTTAGTTGGACCTCAGTTCAGACACCACTAAGTCAAGAACTCTGAACTGTGTGTGATCCTGGATCAAATTTTGAATAATTTAAACCGCTGAATATTAGACAGTTGGCACTACTTTACAGGAAGAGAGAGGCTTGATGATAGAATCCTGAGTCTCATTCCCCTTCAATCTGTATCCCTATGATCCCACCACAATGACGTCAATCCTACTAGTCTTGAATTTACTATTACAATCTTCAACAGGAGTG